TTAGAGATTTCCATCCCTAAAATCTTTTGGGGTTGATGAGGGAGGACAGTATGTCTTCAGTAATTGCTTCCTGCTGATAAAGGTCCTGGTCCCTGCCTGTGTAGGGTATGGAATTCTCTCCCTGCCTGATCTAAGGGGGACAAGGGAATGAGATCTGAAACTGAAACAGATAGGCTGTCGACTGATTCTTCTAAAGTAGGGATGGGCTGGAATCCCCAAGTTCATCATCTTGACATGGTATTGTTGTATCTAAGAGGTGATAAATTTGACAAGAAGATTAGTTATTATATTACTTACCTGTAACAGATTTTTTTTTCTTGAAGAGGAGTTTGAGGTCCTTGATGGCTTCATAAGAATGGGTCTCAGGTTGTGGTTTCTGTGGGGACTCATAAGAAACAGGTTAAATTCAAGGTAAATGAACCCAACTGGCTATCCCGGTGAACTTTACTACAGTTGGGGTGCTTAGTAGGACCTGCTGTGGGCCCTTCCATCTGGGTTGTATTTGGGACTCAACAATTGTAATTCATTCTCTAAGATCCAAGAGATCTCCTTGGATGGGGGTATAGGAGGGGCCTTCTGGGGGCTGAGAGAGGTTGGGGAACCAGAGGTGTTTTCCTAATTATAAGACCCTAGTGAGTGCTATGAGTTCAGCTCTTTGGGCCTAAGTTATGGGGAGCAGGGGCTTTGCCTCTGTTGTTTCCTGAAGACTGGCAATGGCAAACCGGGCCTTTTTGACCCCATCATGTATAAAACAGCTGCCATCTGTAAACCATTCTGCTTCAGGATTTGGTAAAGGTTCATCTGGGTCAAGCCTGCTTGAATATACGAGTTCAGTAGTTTCTATGGATTGGTGTGTGACCTGGGTTTCTGTGTTTATTGGTAGGAGGGTGGCAGGATTGAGAGTTTGGCAAACCTTCAGGGTTAATCCAGGAGAGTCTAGGAGGAGAACCTGATATTTACTTAGCTTTTGCCCTGTGAGCCATTGATGTCCCTTTATTTCTGTTATGGGCACCCAGAAAGGCACTAGGTGTTAGACCTGTGGGGTGACACCAGACCTGGCTTCAGCGACCTTGGTACTTGAGTTCTGGCTAGGAAAGAATTCAGAGCCAAGATTCAAACCATAAGAGAACATTTATTTGAAAAATCACAGAGGTAGAAGAAGTAATTTATAGCAGAAATGGGTTTAGGAAATAAGTGATAGAGGCAAAGGAAGGGCCCTTGGAGCTTGGGAGTGAGAAAGGTAGTGGTAATGTGCCTGGGGGGTGGGGGTGAGAGGAAGAGTAAGGTGTGGGCATGCTCCTGGGAGCGGGCGCACTCTGGGTCTTCCATCCTAAGGATTTTAAGGGTGGAGATTTTAAGAGAGGTCCCCGGGAACATTTCAATAGAATATTCAATCGTTTTCCAGGTGTGTCCTTTCAGAGTCTAGGTCTCCACTGACTGAATGGTCAGTTCCAGGGCAGGGGGTCATTATCCAACGCAGCTGGTCCTGAGGTCAGCCATGGGGTCACTTGTCTGATTTTGCTGCTTTTCTGGACCTAGAGCTGAAATACAACTGAGGCCTTTAGAGAGAAAAGGACAGGGGTTCCAAACCACAAGGCCAGTGATATGCTAGGGGAGGAAAGGTCAGTCACCCTGGAGGCAAGGTCCCACCCTGCAATTGTCCTTTGCTAAGCACCTGGGGTTTTCCACCCTGGTGACCTTCTGTACCTGACCCCACAGTCCTTGCTTTGCTTATGTCTGTCTAACTTCCTGTCACATTTCTAACATAGCTTGTACTTGATGGGGGTTTTGTATTTCTAGTGACGGCTAAGGTTTGTAAACAGTGTGGCCAGTAGGTTGCTACAGGATCTAATTGTTTTGAAAAGTAAGCTACTGGCCTTGGAGTCAGGCTAATTTCTGAGTGAGGACTCCAAATGCTATTCCTTGTTTCTCTGCTATATTTAGGGTAAATGGTTTTTCTAGATTTGGCAGCCCTAAGGTGGGTGACTGCTTAATTTTACTTTTTTGAAAATTGATTTTAGAGAGAGGTAGGGAGAGGGAGGGGGGGAGAGAGGGGGAGAGAGAGAGAGGTAAGAGAAACATCTATCAGTTGCCTCCCATACTTGCCCCAACCTGGGATCGAACCTGCAACCGAGGTATGTGCCCTGCCCAAGAATCGAATCTGCAACCTTTTGGTGTTTGGGACAATGCTCCAACCAACTGAGCCTCCCAGTCATGTTTTAGTTTGACTGTTAACTCCTCAAAGGCATGGTGGCATTCAGGGGTCCAGCCTATAAGCCTTTTGTCATCTCCCTTTAAAGCCTCATATAGAGGTTTAGCAATTAGCCCCAAACCTGGTATCCAGGAGGCAGAAGCCAGCTATTCCTAAAAATCCTTGAAGCTGTTGTTTACTTTGTGGAACTCGGAGAGCAAGTATGGCTTGTTTTCTTTGGGGTAACAGGGCCTGGGCTCCTGGGGTTAGTAATTACCCTAGGTTTTGGATCTGCTGGGAGGTTATTTGGGCCTTACCAGGATGGAATTTTTATCCGAGTCCTCTTTGTTAGTACTAGAAATTATTAGGTCATCAACGTATATTGTAGGAGAGTCCGGTTGATCTGTTGGGGTTTTTTTAATTTTTTTAATTTGCCAAAGTTGCTTATAACTTCTGGATGTAATTTTTTCTGTTCTATATGATGCAAATGTTTCCCTCCAATCTGTTGCTTGATATTGAATTTTGTTATGTCATTTTTGTTGTTATTGAACTATTAAAAATTTTTTTTTACCTTCTGCTTTTTCTTACATATTCTGTAGATGATACCATTAAATACTTTTTTAAAAATAAAACAATTAAATAAGTATTATAGTACCAAATAGGAAAAAGTAATGTATTAGTCATTTTTAATTATAGTAATCATTTTTTTAAAAGGTGGACAAACTCATACATACATATTGATTTGTCACAATAATGAATAGTTTGTTAATTACTTAAATTCCCCAAATTTTCAGAAGGAAATCTTATCGTTTGTGACAACATAGATGGACCTGGAGATTATTATGTTAAGTGAAATGGGCCAGTCAGAGAAAGACAAATACCATATGATCCAACTTATGTGTGGAATCTAGTGAACAAAATAAACTGATGAGCAAAATAGAAACAGAGGCATGGATGCATGGAACAGACTGACAGCTGTCAGGGGTGATGGAGGCGGGAGGGACTGGATGAAAGAAGATGAAGGGATTAGCCAAAGAACATACATGCATAACCCATAGACAAAACAGTGTGGAGATGGCCAGAGGGAAGGGGGGACATCTGTAATAGTGTCAACAATAAAAATAAAGTTAAAAAAAAAAATTGTTACTATGTGAGGTGATGAATGTTAACTGCTTATTGTGGTAAGAGTTTGTATATCTATATATCTATATCTATATATTTGTATATCTTATATCTATATCCATCATCTGTCTATATCATCTATCTCTCATCTATCATCTACCTATCATTTAATGTTGTATACCTAAAACTAATGTTATATATCAATGATATCTCAATAAAACTGGAAATGACATCTAAAAAATTCCCCAAATTTTCAGTAACTTTGTAAAAACTGATCATCTTCACATATTCAAGTGCCACAGATAGTATTGCCTGATTTTTAAATCTTGATTCATATTTGGGTAAAGAGCATGTTTTATTAATTTAATTATGGAAGTTTTAAAAATGAAATCAGATATACCAATAATAACAGTTAAAGTGGTGAGAAGTGGTTATAATTTTTATAACTCTTGAAGAGAAAGTTGCCAGGACTTTGTGATGATGTAGAATTGGGATGTGGAGGAGGGTGGTGTTGGAAAGAGGAATGAAGGATTATTTCAAGATTTTTTGCCTGAGCTAGTAGTTATCATCAACTGAGAGTCTTCGAGTGGAGCCAATCAGATAGAGTCGAAAATTAAAAGTTCACTCTTATGATGACATGTTTGAGATTTTTATTGGTCACCCAGGTGGGGATGTCCAATAGCCAATTGGACATATGATCTGAAGTGAGGAGAAAGGCTTGAGCTGGAGATACAATGTATCATTAGGATTTAGCCATGAACCCTCAAATAACCAATATTGAGAGGTCAGTAAAATGAGGGGTGAGTAGGCACTGGCCAGTGAGATATAAGAGTAATGGAGAATGCCCGGTGACCTGTAAGTCAGGTTTAAATATTGTATCCAGGAAACAATAATCAAGGCTGTTTCAATTATTGCTGGTAGGTCATGTGAGATGACGACTGATAATTCACCATTAGAATTAGTATCCTGACCTTGATAAAAGCAGCATGGTGGAGTCATGGACAAAAGCCTGATTAGTGTGAGTGTGTGAAAGACTGGGAAGAGAGGATGGGGGGACTATAAATATAGACATCTGTGTCAAGGGGAGCAAAGAAATGAGGGCATTTCTGATGGGATTGCAATGCCCTTCATTGGAGGATGATGAAGGTCATAGAGGGCATGCTAGGGTTAGTCCCAGTGAATTCTACAGCTTTCTGCATGGACTTGCTTTTACCATGAATTTTTATCTTCCTATTTGTATGACTAATTAAGTGTGTTAGCTTATCAAATATATTTTAAATGGCTGATTTATACTCCTACTTCAGTGATTGTGTAAGTTTTCCATTAAAACTGAGAAAGTAGCTTTCAGGACGTGATGCTATGACTTTTGACATGATGCTATTTCCAATGTAGTCATAAGGCAAAGAGTAAATATTGTCTGGTATGTAGGACCTCCAGCAGGAACATGAATAAGTTGTGTAGATCATTATACAAGTGCTGTAGCTGGACACCAAACCTGCTCTTTGAGTTGTTACCAAGGTGCTATGTATCTGCTTTTTTTTTTTTTTTTCCACTTCTACCATACTGATTTTAAATGTCATGCAATTTACAGGCAGAAAATTATTTTAATTCTCATTGTTTAATAAAATAATATATTTTATTTGGGGAAATGAAAGATTTATTTACATAAACTTTTTTTCTTCTTCAGTTTTGTCAAAGCAACATGCTTCACAAGTTCTGGTTAGGAAACGCCGTGCAAATTCTCTTTTTGAAGAAACCAAAAAGGGTAATCTTGAAAGAGAGTGCATTGAAGAGCTGTGCAATAAAGAAGAAGCCAGGGAGATCTTTGAAAACTACCCTGAAACGGTAAGAACTCATGAAACGGTAAGAACTCATGAAAATCAGTTAGCACACCTAGACACACAGTTACAGACAGAGCAGTTCCAGCTTGAGGCTGTGTTCCGCTGTGTACCTTTTCTATGTTAACGACTGTGTGTATATCACGTTTCACATGTAACCCCTGAAGCACTGCAGAAGGAAGTACCTTGGAAGGAAGGTGGACAGTTAGGAAGACACTATTCCCAAAGTAATGTGCTCTAACCAAACTATAGTTCAGTTATACCTCATTATCAGCAAATATTGACCTTGCTGTTTGTAAATACTATTTCCCAACCACAATTTGATAGTATGGGGAAAGGGCAGGAAACAGTTAGGACTTTTGACTCTACTGGATGAAGTTATGTTTTGTACTTGAGTATGTTTTTGTGTAGAAAAACTGGTTTCTCAGGAAGTGTTCTTGTGCTATTAATGTTACACATTAGATGTATTATGGCTTAAGAAGGCTTTTGTGAACCAGCCTGAGAACCTCACCATTAGAAATCATTTTTAACATTTTTCTCTCTGTAGTAAAGTGCTTTCCTTAGTCCAAATTACTGATTTACAGACAAACTTTTGGTACATACCCCATTAATAAGTAAGGTATTACTTGTACCTATATGCTAAAAGAGAAATGTCCACTTCAGATGATGTCAGTGTTATCCAGCATTGGATCTGGTGTGTGTAATCGGCATGGCATGAATGTGTCAGATGGGTATCTAATCATTATGGAAAAATAAAGGATTTACAAAAAGGGGGCATGTATGATTATATTTGATAGCTTCAATAGAACCTGTTTTCAGATTAGATGTTTTTGAAGCATAGTTTAATTGATTAATATTGACTTAAGCCTAGACATTTTATTAGTTATTTACTCCTGGTATATTTTGCTGTAGAAAAAAAATCTTATAATGTGGAAATGACGGTTATATGTAATTTATTTGCATCTTTAAAATAAAAACACATTTTAAAATTGTTTTAACTCTATAGTGAAATTTAGGTTTGCTAAGGTAATTTATTTATTTTTCTTTCTTTCTAGGAATATTTTTATCCAAAATATTTAGGTAAGTTCAAAGGATTTTATTCATGTAATTCTAGAAATGGAGGGGAACTTAAATATGATAAAGTCCAATTCTCCACCTGTTTATTTCGTCTAGTACAATTTCATTAGCCTTGGGAGTAGGATGCCATTCTATATGTCGTATTGCTGTCCTTTTATTAGTTATGTAGAAAAATGAAGAATGGTTCTTGAATTACCATGTGGCATTTTGACCTTTAGTTTTTTTCAATTTCCTGTCTTTCTCATAGAATCATTGAGCTAATGCTGTTATATTTAGGTCATGGGTTATCTTTTTCTATATATGTTTTTTTAAATTGATTTTAGAGAGAAAGAGGAAAGGAGAGAGAGAGATAGAAACATTAATGAGAAACATCTATCGGCTGTCTCTTGCACACCCCCTACTGGGGATTGAGCTTGCAACCCAGACATCTGCCCTGACTGGGAATTGAACTGGTGACCTGTTGGTGCATGGGACAATGCTCAGTCAGCTGAGCCACACTGACTGGGCTCATAGTTTATCTTTTAATGAAAGGAAATATCTCTGTACTCTCCAGAGGTTGTGGCATAAATAATTATCAGAATGATTAACAACTTCTCTCTTGGCAGCATCATTTCATCATTCCCTTCAGTATCCCTCCTCATGTTTTGCTTTGTACACAATTCTGGGCTCCCAAGAAGTGAAGTTTCATTTCCATACCCAGACAGATGAGATGATTTCAACTAAATATCAGTTAAAGATAACTAGGTTTCAGTTTGCTTTAAGGAAATATAAAAACATTTTGGATTATTACTTGGGATAGTTGTCAGCATTTCTCAGCAAGAACAGTTGAGTATAATTTGCTCAACTGTGTCTGATCCCTCTGATTCTCAGTTGTTTGCTCGTTCCTCTTTCTGGTGGGATCCTCTATAGGCCCAGCCCACAAAGGTGTGCTCTCCGTCCTTTGGGCTCAGAATGCTCCCCATCTGTGCATCTTCCCACTCTCTTCCCAGACAACTTGAGCTATAAGCCCTGCGGAAATGAAAAGTGAATCTTCCTTGAAAAAAGTAGCAAGACATGAATGAGTATGCAATTTCAAATGTATTAATATATAATTTTGCAAATAACTTTCTCTTAAACTCTTATTTCTCTTGAAATTTGAGGGTTTCATTATAGTTCAGGATCTTACTTTTTGTTTGTTTTTGTTTTGTTTCTGAACACGCGTGCCGAGATTGCAGAGACCATCTATAGATTGGGTGTATCTCTCCCTTTCCCCCTTCCTAGCGAGCCTTACGTTGAAGTGATGGTGTGTACTTATATCTACCCTGCAGGAAAATGAACAGCAGGAGCCTGAGATCACTGTGTAGAAGATGCGTTTAGAGCCAAGTGCTGTTTTTCATAGTCCTGAAGTGGTCACTCTTTCATCTCTGAGAGTCCCTGATGCCTGAATCTTGTCGGTGTGGCACAGCCTGAGCCCAGTAGGCCCCGCGGTGGCTCCTGCATTTCATTCCACCCTCTCGTCCGCTGCAGGACGCTTTAGAACTCCATGGTGTGGCCCGTTTCTGTTCAGTGGGCTGCTAGGGTCTTCCAGTTGACGTACTACAGTTCTTTTTATAATTTCCAATCCAACAGCTTTCCTGCAAGATCTTAAAATTATGATAATCTGCTTTTTTCTTCTATGACTTCTCTGTTTCCCCCTTATTCTTCCCCTCACTTCCCTTTTCCAGCCACTAGTAGTAACGTGCTTAAACCGCTTCATTCAAATTTGGAAAGGGGCACTATGAAAATTATGTAGGGGTGTTATTTTTGTCTCTGGGTATGAAAATGCAGCAGGATTTCCTACAACCTTTAGCTGCTGCATCTTAAAAGAAAAATGGGATATAGATACACATCCATCAAAAACACCTTTTGTAAAGTTATATATGACTCACTTTCTAAAGCAAAAATGACAGGTGTGCACTGTTAAAGTGAAGAAAAGACAGAATAATAGGACTATTTCAGCTTCTCAATTTTAGGTAGAAATTTAAATATAAGTAAAACAGACCATATTCAACTATTAAAAAATTGTAAGCTTGCATTAAAAAACATAGTATTAATCTCTATTCCTTTTTATTATTTATTTATTTATTATATATTTTTAATTGATTTCAGACAGAGGAAGGAAGAGGGAGAGAGAGACAGAAACATCAATGAGGAGTCATTGGCCGGCTGCCCCCCACAGGCTCCCTTCTGGGGATCGAGCCCGCAACCCGGTCCTATACGCTGACCCAGAATCAACCCAAAATCTCATGGATCCTAGGTCGATGCTCATCCGCTGAGCCTCGCTGGCTGGGCTTAATCCCTATTTCTTAGGTCTATGTTTTGAGACTATTTCTGTAGGTGTCAGCACTCTAGAAAAAACATACCTTTTATCACAGAGTATATTTGGATAAAGGTAAATAACATGTTAGTAAAACGTGTTCTGGAGGAGTTCCTTTGATAAAATAATTTTTCTATTTTCTCCTTTTATCCATCTCAGCTTCCTCTTTGCTGGCTCGACCCAACTTTGTCTTCTCTTTGCCTGTCTTATTTGCAGCATGGTAGAAAAGCTAAATATCAAATAAATAAGATGTAGGCTCTAGTCCTAGACCTAAAAATTTCTACACTGTCAGATTATGCAAGTTATTTAACTTTTCAGGTTCTGTTTAAATATACCCTATATTTTCTAACTTCAGAGCTATTGGGAATACCAAATAAGTATATTTATGGAAGTAGCCTTTTTATTACATCAAACTTTCTTCATATGTAAAGTATTATCATTTAACCAACCCATATATGAAACAAAAATATTTTTTATTATGGCTTTTTTAAATTCAAACTTTATATTTTGGACCTTAATTATAAATAGGCATACGTCATGAATTCAACTGTTGAAAAGAGAAAAGAAATGTTCTAAGTTAAACTTTTCTGTCATTGGATGTACATATTCTGCAGGCCAGATTTTCCTACTTAATAAAAAACCTTTATAATCCTGTCCCTGGTAAACCTAATAGTAATATTACTAATTACCACAGCCCATGCATGGAGCTCCTTATAGTGAGGTAAGAATACCCTTAGACCATTAATAACCCATACTTTGGGGACAGTGTTTAGATTTAGAGTTCAGGGATTTGGAAAGCACTTCTGTCTATCCACATATCCCATTATGCATTGAAAATATAGAATTTGGACAGTAATATTCTGCGTTTTTAAGTTGTGTTCATTTCCTTAGAAAATAGAATAAATAACTCTACTATCTATATTGAACTTTAAAATATTACCTGACAGAGTGGAGGATTCTATTAATGGGAGAGAAACTTCGTCGGAAGAATGCTAAATTCTGAGCCCAAATATAAACATTAGAGATAATTTTTAACTTCTAGCTCTTACCAAGTTGGTGAATTAACTCACACTGCTGACTTCTCTTAAAATCATCTCAAAAAAACAATAGCATTCCAGGCACTAATAATAACAAAATAATAATAATAAAAAAACACACAACAAGAAATCCGAGAAATCCTTGGGTACACTGAAGGCTGGCTTGACTAGCACGTGTGCGTGGGAATTGGGGTGCTGACTGCCGAGGCTGCAGAGGGCAGATTGGAATATTCTAAAAGCAACCTAAGCATTCCAATCAAAAAACCTTCTGGAAGTAAACCCTGCGCAACAAGAAATGAGATAATAAAAATAGGGATATAAACAAGTTAAATGGAAAACAAAAGAGAGAGTAACAAAATCTCATTCTTTGAAAAGTATCCTAAATTAGATGGACCTCTGGCAAGAGTAATCAAGGAAAAATAAAAAAAGGAAAGGAAATGCCCAAAGTGTGGGATAAACACAGGAAATACTGGAAACCCCCAACATAGATGAGATTTATAGTCATAAAATAAAGATAACCATAAAATATTACAAATAGCTATACCAAAATATATTTAGAAACTGGGTAAAATGGATATATTCCTAGAAAAATATAATGCATCTATAATTTTACAGGGGGAAATAGAGAATTTGGTTATACAAATGAGTACTAAATAAGCTAAACTCCGCAGAGCCTTCTCCTTTGCATTCCCCCAAAACCAGACCCAGATGTTTTACAGGTTAGTTCTTCCACATTTAAAGAAACTGTTAAATTCTCTCTTATAAAATTGTCCTAGACAATAGAAAAAGATCTATGCTTATTCTAAAAGACTGCTGTAATCATGATTCCAAAACCAGATAAAGGCAACACAAGAAAATAAAAAATAGAATTTCTTTTCATTTATGAATTCATTCTAAATCAAGTGATATCCAATCTAATTAAAAGTATATTAAAAATAATATATCATGGTAAAGTAGGTTCTATTCCAGAAATTCAAGGAAGTTTAGCATCAGAAAATCCATTAATGTAATTAATACACATAAAGTTTATTACTACCTCAGTTCATACAGAAAAAGTAGTTGATGAAGTTCAACACTTAATTATGATTAAAACAAACTTTGGCAAACATGATTATAGAACTTCCTGAGCTTGTTAAAGGTTATATATAGAATAACCATATAATTTATCTTACAAATTTTGCTATTTTGTTCAGGACTAATACTACACTAGATAAATGCCAAGTAAAAAAGAATAAATAGAACTGTCTGGATAAATTGGCATGTATGGTCATGCTGATGATATACACACAACATGAGGGAAAGAAAGGAAGGAGGGAGGGAGGGAGGAAGGAAGGATAAAACCTTCAGTATACATTATACTTCATAAACTTTAGGTACAGTCTCTTTATGATTGAGAGCAAGAATAGAAGCCCTTCAGGTTACAGATAATTCAATAAAGAACAAAAAGTAAGAACTGTATAGATATATGGCTGTTGGAATTGATATACCTAGAAAAAAAATATTAAAACACATAAAAGATATTAGATAGTTCTAAGTTTACCTCATAAAAATCAGTAGTAGTTCTTAATACAAACAATAGTTCTAGTAGAAAATAAAAAGTTGATTCCATTCGCAATAGCAGCAAATCCCATAGAATATCTAGAAATATCTTAAGAATATATACAACCTCCATAGGGAAAATTTAAAAATACAAATTAAGGATAGAGAAGATGACCTGAAATCATAGAAAAATATTTCATGCTCTTGAATTGAGTTATGCTATAAAGAGACCAATTAATCTACATATTTGAAGTGATCCTGTTTAAAATTCCAGCTGAATTTTTAAAAGAAATTCTGTAGTATTTAAATCAGGGAATAAAAGTCCATACCTGTCTGAATTAACTTTAGAAATGCAAAGGAGGAGGCCTGGCTGGTGTGGCTCAGTAGGTTGGGTGTTATCCTGTGCACGGAAAGGTTGCTGGTTTGATTTCTTGTCAGGGCACATGCTCCAATGGTGGGTGTGCAGGAGGCAGCCAATTAATGTTCCCCTCTCCTACTGATGTTTCTTTTTCTCCTTCCTTCCTTCCTCTCTCTCTAAAAATTAATAAAAATATTTTTTTTAAATGCAGAGGAGGAAACACCTGATCAAATATTAATAATACAAAGCTATAGAAAGAAAACCACTTGCTATTGTCAGAGGAACATGTAGACTAATGAACTTAACAAAGAGTTCAGAGACAGACCCATCTATGTATGGCAACCTAATATTTGATAAAGGTGATGCCATAGTCACTTTGAATTGTTTAAAAGATTGTAGTCGGAAGACTGGCTAACTATAATCAGAAAAATAAATCTGGGTTCCTAATTATCACCAAATATAAAGATGGATTGTAGGTGAAATAAAGATACTAATGTTAAATTATGAAATTAAACAAAAGCTATATGAGAATATCTTTATGATCAATGGCATGGAACAGAAAACCTCAAATGTACAAACCATAAGGCAAAATAATTAGTAAATTTGATTACAACAAAATTAAGAACTTTTCTTAAAAGACAGACATAAAGATAAGGTTAAGAGACAGATAAGAGAATGGAATGATATTTATAAATGTTTAAATTTCTGCAAACCCACATAAACAATAAATAAGTGCCAAAAGAAAAGTGGTTACAAAATAAAAAACTATTCAAATTTTTAAAAAATGAGATATGCTCCATCTCACTGGCAATCAGAAAAACAATGAGATATCACTTAATTACCAATTCTGGGAACAATTAGAAAGCCAGGATGTGGAAATTCTTATGGTCTGCTGGTGGGAATGCACCTCTGGAGAGCCCCTAAATTTATGTCTGCTAATTATCCTACAATTCCAGAAGCACCTTGGAATCTATTCCAAAGAAATTTCTTATGCATATACCAATGAGACATACACGAAGAGGAAGATATCTATTGCAGTGCTACTTGTAGAGGTGGGAAATTGGAAGCAATCTGGGTATCGCAGGTAGGGAGGATTTTTAAAATGGTGATAGCATGCTATGAGTAATGTTTAGGAGTTAGAAGCAATAAATTATATGTAGCAATGAGGATAAATCATAAAAATACAATGCTAAGTAAGAAGTGTCAGAAAAACACGATACATAATACACAATCATTTACGGAAATGAAAATTGATGGACATAAAATTATAAATATGTATTTTATAAGGACACATACAAATGAAAAAATATACATTAGCTTAGAATCATTGCATAAAGGGTGAATGGGAGTGGAAATGGAAATAAAAAGGAATATATATATATATTTAAAAAGCAGCAAGCAATGGGCTTTTCAAAGACAAACAATAATGTATCATCAAGAGGAAAGTATAAATAACTCAGTTTTCCACTTAGGAGCAAACATTTAGACTTTTATGTGATGGCATATTCTGTGACATAAGGACAGAGGGCTGTAAACTAGTTTCTCAGAGAAAATAAAAATTTGCCAGACTCTGGCTCCATCATCCTGATAAAACCTTTGTTTAGGTTGCAGTGGCAGTTTGAACTCTTTTTTAGAATTGACAGGTTCAGACAGTGCAGTGGTGCGTGCATCAGGTGGTAAAAGGCAATCAAATAGTTTGGTCCCTAATAAGACCAATGTGGGAAGAAGTAAATAGAGGTTGTGTGTAGGAATTGGCTTAGTCTAGACCAAGATTTCTGAATCAACGTGATTTTTTTTCTTAGGCTTTCCTCCCTGATGGCACAAATTTCTGTTTCTAATCCCATTTCTTACAAGAGCTTCTGCTTTAGGCTACAAAATCTGGGAGAGTCTCCTCTTTGACTTCCCCTATTCCTGCTGTGCAGTGAGGAGGAGGGGGCGAGGGAGGGGAGGGGGAGGGCCCTATAGCGCCAGGCTTTGCGGTAGCCATGCCGCTCCCTCTCCACGCTGAATTCTAATTGCAGGTTCCCATAAAGACACGATCACATATGCGTGTATAGACTTGCACCTGAGGTGCGTGGTGGCTTAAATCTACTTTGCAGTCCAGCCTAGGGTCCTAATCACCATATGAAACATTTCACTTGGACCTCCAACCTAAGGTCTTTCAAATGTTAGCTATCATTCACTGTCCAATGGTGCAGAATTCGGCTTTCTCACAAAGGAGGAATCCTAATGCAATATCTGCATTAATTAATTCTGGGATTGGGTGATTCAGGAGGAGGGACAAATGAATCTAGAGAAAGAATATTCAAACCCTAAAGCTGTGCTTAGGTCTCATTTGGCCTCTGGAAGGACCAGTATGTTGTAAGGTGGTGTTTCTGTGGGAAAATATTCTAACCCATCACGGTAGGCTGAACGATGACACCCCCAAATGCGTTCCTGTCCTAACCCTTAGGACCTGTGAGTGTTACCTTATATGGCAAAAGGGACTTTGAAAATTAAATGAAGGATCTGGAGGTGGGGACATTATTCTGGATTATCTAGGTGGGCCCGATGTAATCATCAGGGTCCTTGTACAAGGGAGGCAGGAGATCAGAGTAGATACTAGGTTATATGACAATGAAGCAAAAGTTGGGGGTGATGTAAGGAAGAGCCAAAGAATGCAGGTGGCCTCTAGAATCTGAAAAAGGCAAGGACATAGCTTCCCCTTTGAAGTCTCCAGAAGGGATGCAGCCCTGCTGAGACCTTAATTTTAGACTTCTGGTTCCTATAGCTGTAAGAGAATAAACTTACGTGGTTTTAAGCCACTAAGATTACAGTAATTTGTCACAGCAGCAATAGGAAACTAATGTACACATTGACTTCAGATGAGCCTTTGAATCCACCTGTAATAAATTGTATCTTCCAGAGATGGCTGCAGAAATCTCTCCCATCTCCCATACCCTTCAGCAGCGTCATCTGCTGCTTCTCATTCACTAAAGGAGTCCATGCTTGCCACCTCGGCCCCTTGAATCTGTGGGATTTGGGACTGCTTTGATCAGTAGAATGGTGGAAGTGACAAAAATGCCTCCTAACTGGCCTGGCAATTTCTGCTTTCTTCCTCTTGAAAGCTAACTGCCATGAAGTGCCACGTTAGTACGAGCATGCTCAGAGAAACTCAGCCACGTGGAGCATCCCTGCAGCTGACATGCCATATGGAGAGAGATGCCAGGGAGCCTGAGCTGTCAGACGCGTGAATGAAAAGCTATCCTGGAGGTGGAAGAAGCAAACAGCCCAACCTAACACTTTCCAAATATTTGACCTACAAATCATGAGCAAAATAGAATAATTATTTTAAGCTACTAATTTGGTGGTTTGTTTCTCAGCAAAAGATAATCACATCCACCTTTTTAGTAAGTTGGTGACTATCTGCACAGTGAAGTGATACACATACTGTTCTTTCCAGTGGCTATTAAGAAATGTTATATTGTTGGCACTAAGTGACCCCTACTTACTTTAAAGACTATAAGTATTTTATCTCTATTTTTCCAGCTATTATTTCTGCCAGATTGCCATATCTAATTTCATAGTGAGGAATAAAATGAATGCAATAAACCTTCTTGGCTTTGTAATATTGAGGCATTATGCAAATATCATTATGTTAGTCTCTGTGCAACACTGGAAGAATTGGACGTTGTCTACAGCAACCACAAACACTAACTCATTCTATTACCTTAATTACAGATACTTTCTAATTCGGGCTCTGGTCTCCAGCTTGGAGGATAACTGTAGGTCTCTGCTACAGAATTAAGCACATAGGTTTACGTGATAATACATTTCTTTGCAAATCCAAGATCTTTTTCACTTCTGGCTTTTAAGGCTCTGCTCCAAAGAAAAGTTTCCATAGACCTATTTTTCATGATTCTGCATTTTTGCAATCTTGCTTTGAATGCTGAATCCCGTAAATCCACAGGAGCATGAATACTGTACCTCTTGGCATAATTTCTGCCATGATTTCAGACCAAGTAAACATGCCTACTCTAAAAAAATGACATTTGCTTGTATTTCCAGGTTGTCTTGGCTCTTTTCGAGCTGGATTGTTCACTGCTGTACGTCAGTCAACTAACGCTTACCCTGACCTAAGGACCTGTGTCAATGGTAAACAACTCTACAATCAATCTAAAAACAAAACCAAACAAAAACCTGCAAGTAAAGTACACCCATGTAAATATAATGTTTAAAAGTTAACAAATGAACCCTTGAAGGTTATGCCCCAAACAAGGTATGCTCAAAATGCATTTGAAAGAATGCTTTTCGTATGTAAATGCTGCTGTTTTATTCAAAATGAATTTTCCACTTAACGTTTAAATTGAACAGTGTGCCTAGTTTACTCAACTTTGGTCACTGACTTCAGGATTTTATTCCTGACAGCTTTATTTTGGCTGTCGTTGCATAATCATGTAGTATTGACCAAATGTTACAGTTGATTAATAGATCAAAATTGAGCCAACTTTTTTTCTTCTAAATATTGGCATCAATAACATAAATGTGGAAAATGTTATGATTCCAAATTAGCCTTCTCCCTCTGAAATTCACATAGAGTCTAGTGATAATTCTGGTACATTATCTGTCTCTGATTTACCAGTTTCGTAACTGAGAGTAAGAGAGAGAAAGGTGAACTTGCAGGATGGTGAAAATACACGACTGGGATGTTTGTCCAGTGAATATTTTACATGCAGCATTGGCAATATCTAGATATTTATCTGCATTTTATCAATATAAAGTTGGTTGTAATTATATAAGTAAAACCGCTTGAACACATTTATTTAATTCACACTTTATCTTTTCCTAATTTACCAAAGGGCAGGGAAATAATTTGATAACAATTTCCTGATTAGTCTTTCTATTTTAACTAATACCTCATTTATTACTACTTAAAAAGAAACTTGATGAACTTATGAGGGCATTTTTTGAAAAATTTGGTAATTAAGTTTCAGCTAGGTTTAAAAAATTTTTCTTTGCAAGTAACAGAAATTTTCTTTAGCTAACCTGAGCAGCAGGGAATGTATTGGAAAGACAGAAGGAACTCTCAGAGTTCACTAGGAAGGCTTGAGAAGCAGGTGTGGAAATGTGTAGGCACCAAGGGACCCCTGCAGCGTCTGGTGAGGAGAGAGAAACCACTAACGAGTAAAGAAAAATGGGCATGTCATTTAAGATGGTGATAAAGTGCTCTGACATTTTATGAAGAAAATTCCCTCCCCTAAGAGTCACAGTACTCTGCTACTGTGTTTAGTGTCTGAAAACCATTGTTTCATGTATTTTGAACAGAGTTCTATTTATTTAAGGCAAGAGGATAAGCCTGGTCCCTGTTACTCCATTTTAGCCCAAATTGGAAGCCCCTGATTTTTTTTTCTATTGATATTGTGAGTAGTTTTATTTGTTCTGAATATCTCATGAAATTGTTTTAAGGGTCAAATAAGGTAATATATATGAAAAAAATCTAAATTATAGTTGTAAAATACCATATATATTTGTAAAATAAAAGTAGTTTTCTTTTGCAAAATAATTTAAAGGTTTGTCTGATGGACTCACTATTTTATGAAAAAGTATTATTTGAAGGAAGCAGTTACAATTGTTTTTTATTATAGGCTTCACGCACAGGATTTCTATTAAAGGGCATATCATTTTATTTTACCATGGCATGTGGTAAAAATTAACTAGATGTCTATTTCCTTTAGCTATTCCAGACCAGTGTAACCCTCTGCCATGCAATGAAGATGGATATCTGAGCTGCAAAGATGGCCAGGCTACATTCACTTGCATTTGTAAATCGGGTTGGGAAGGAGAGAAGTGTGAACATGGTATGTATACTAAACCCACCTGGCTTATCTGGATTGACCTGAAAAGTTTTCTGAAGGCTGTATCACATTAAAAATAATTTATTTTCCCCTTTTTAGATATAAATGAATGCAAAAATCCCTTAAATATAAATGGAGGTTGCAGTCAGATTTGTGATAATATGCCTGGAAGTTATGAATGTTCCTGTAAAAGTGGTTTTGTTCTACTTTCAAATGAAAAGGACTGCAAAGGTAAGAGCAAGAGGGTAGAAGTAGAAGGTATTTGCCATGTGAGGGCAAAATTCAGTTAGAGAGCCCGGCCGGGCGTGGCTCAGCGGTTGAGCATCGACCTAGGATCCGGGCGATCGGGGTTCGATTCCCGGTCAGGGCACATGCCTGGGTTGCGGGCTCGATCAATGACTCTCTCATCACTGATGTTTCTCTCTCTCCCCCTCCTTTCCTCTCTCTGAAATCAATAAAGATATGTTTAAAAAAAAAAAAAATTCAGTTAGAGAAATCTCCCCAGGAAATTCATGGCAAATTCTGTTTATAAGCTGATATAATCAATATACATAATTATGCATGTTGAAGTTTTGTGATTTAATGAGACTGCCTTTTAGTTTATTTTTTATAAGGTATTTTGTTATTTATATTTTATTGTTTTCTTATTGTATGTTCTTATTTATAGAGCATTTTCTTGTTTTCTTACTGCATGTGTATGAGTGTACATACACATGATTACATTTTAATCAAGAATTTCATTATGCCTTGGCCATGGCTCAGCTGGTTGGGCCATTGTCCCTACACCAAAAGGTGTGAGTTGGATACCTAGGTGATGGTTCTATCCCTGGTCAGGCTGCATGCGGGAGGCAACCCATCTATGTTTCTCTCTCACATCGATGTTTCTCTCTCCCCCTCCCTCTGTCTCTAAAAATCAACATATGTGTCCTCAGGTGAGGATTTTTAAAAAAAACAACTTCATTATATGGTGATAAAGTTTCAGTGTAAGTCCTTGCATACTACAGTGTTTACAAAATTGTTGTTTATACTTTCTTTTTCAGACACTATAATATTTCCTTTATTTCAATGAGATAAACAACTGTACAAAGAAATCCAGCATAATCCTAAGTAACTTTTTAAACTTTATTTTATATTTTCTTGTCGGAAATACCTCTCTAGTTTCCAGTGAAAACCCTTCATCTTGCCCCTCATTTCCTGTTGTGATTTTGGGAAATAAGAAGAACTAAAATTTGAGACTTAAATGATTCCTGTCAATTCAGCTCTATAACAGTCATTGTACTAGTCTATTTCTTTTTTTTCTTTATGCTTCTTTTTTCCCCTAGTTTTGAGTTTTTTCTCTCTGCGTATGTCTTTTCCATTAGACTGCTTTAACTGTCATAACTTAATCTTCAAGTATAATTGCTAGGTGTCTGGATGACTAAAAACACAGTGTTCCAGCCTGAGGTTAAATTTTGCCTTTGGAAACTGGAAGCGAGTTTTCCTTCCTTCCGTCCTCCTTTCCTCCCTGCCTTCCTCCCTCCTTCCCTCTTCTTCCCCTTGCTACAAGGTAAAAAAAAAAAAAAAAGTAAATTAAAGTGTAGAGTTTTCTTGGTCAACTCCATTCATAACTGCTCTGGTACATCTACTAAACTGAATTCATAGTCAAGGAAAAAGGTGTGTCCCTCTCTGCACTGTAGTGTCTGGTGCAGTGTAGTTTACTATATTATTATTTGAAGTGCAGTTAAATGACTAAAGTGAACTGTATTAACTAACAATTTCTTCTAAACATATATCTTTCTCATTTGCCTATGTGGACATCCGTTTGAGGTTAGAAATTTAGAGAACCAATATCATTAGAACACCGGTATAGAAAACAACATCATAATGTGGGGCACTACATGCATGCCATAGACAAGTAATACCCACTCATACCTCTACATTTAAAAACTTAAATGGTCTGTTCTTCTAAAGAATTTGTGACTTATATTTTTAATTATAAGGTATTTAATTCTTATACACTGAATTTATACACTCGTATGTAAATTATTACAGAAAAGTACTCATAACTAAGAATGTCCCTGTTGGCCAGAACATATGGTCTTGTGTACTTCATTTGCATAGCTTTTTATCCATGGTATCCAAGTAATAGAGTACAGAACTCTTAGAAGAATGTGTATACAACTATTATGATAAGGCCTTTGTCAACATGTGGATATGCTTGGATCAAGTTGCCAATAAATGTCTAAAAATTCAAGAATAAAACTTTTCATCAGTCATTAGATGTCAGTGTAGAGTCATAAAATCAGTGCGCTATAACCTAAACTCATATGATTTAAATAATTCCTTGCAATATTTCTCAGACCAAATAATTTAGGCATATGGTTTTACTTTCTTTAAAAAATATTAAATAGATTTATTTTGAAGGAATTGTAGATTCACATGCTGTTGTAAGAAATAAAAGAATAGAAAAGGATCCCATGCATCCTTGCCCCCAGTTTTCCTCAGTAGTAACATTTTACAAAACCCTACTACCTTATCACACCCAGAATACTGACACTGATACAGTCAAGATACAGGGAAAAGTTCCTTCCCACAGGGATTGATTCTGTTATTTTTGTGAATGTCATTTTAAATAGAGTAATGTGTGAAATTTTGTCTATTAGTCTGTAGAAAAGTTAAACTCCCAACTTTTTAGAGTAGAAAATATATATTTTTTATTCTGAACTTGCCCTTCTTCAGAGTGTACAAATGAGAAAAATTCACTTGTATTTAGATCTCCATTGAACTATTTCTGTTGCTTGTGTTTGTTTTTTTACAGGGGCTTATCTAGTAACTAATTGCAGTCAATACTTCGTCTCCTACTCTTCTATGTGATGTAATAAATGCATCTGGAATTTCAGGAATGTTAATTTAGCACTAAAACTTGTATTGGGTTAACTGCAGCTTTATAAATACTTTGAGACTTTACTCAGTCTCATTTTAAGTTTGAATAACTTGAATATTTTAGGCAACAGTAATGGCATGCAGACTTAGCTATCATTCATTCCCAGGGGAAAAAGCATAAGACTGATGAGCCATCTCATTTGTTTTTTATATTTGTGATAATACAGATTGTATATACTTTTAAGACCATATTTCAGAAGCATGTATTTAGGAATACCTATGAAGAATATGGTGGCCCTGCCTGTGTGGCTCGGGCATCATCCCATGCGCCAAGAGGTTGTAGGTTTGCTTCCCAGTCAGGGCACATGCCCGTGTTGCAGGCTGGACCCCCGGTAGGGGGTGTGCAGGAGGCAGCCAATCGATGTTTCTTTCCCTCTCCATCTCCTCTCTTTCTCAAATCCAATTTTTTAAAAAAATCTTAAAAAAAAAAAAAGAGTATGGTGAATCCCTTATCCCATTTATTTTCATACTGGAACCTGGTAGGTAAGATGATAACTAAAGCCCTGTCTTTCTTTTATATAACTACACAGGAACATTGCAAACATCAATCAAATTCTCTGTGTTTGCTTAAAGATATCATATTTAGTGAACTAAAGTATGATGATAGATTTAATACTTTGTTATTCTCAGGCCACTCGGTTGTCTTATTTCATATGTTAAAGCCGATCCAGGAAATGCAGATCAAGGTTCTTTGCTAGCATCTTCTGGTATGGGAAAAATGCCTTTTAATATATTGGTTTTGTTTATAGATGTGGATGAATGCTCTTCGAAGCCAGGCATTTGTGGCACAGCTGTGTGCAAGAACATGCCAGGGGCCTTTGAATGTGAATGCGCTGAAGGTTACAGATACAATCCCACATCAAAGTCTTGTGAAGGTAGAGTTGTGGTGGTGTCATTGTTGATCGTGGAGAGGGTGGGTTTGAGCCCTGATTAGATATTAGAAGCATTGGTTCTGTTTGACATCAACAATAAGATTTTCTAAGATGGTAAAATCCATCTCATAGTTTGGTCAGTTGAGTAATCACTGGCTTCCTTTCAGAGTAAAAATGTACATAAGACACATGGTCTTTAGGTTTAGTGTTATGTGCTCCAGTCGGCCCTCTAAGCTGAATATGGATTGGAGACCTCCCATGTATGATAAAAGCAAAATAAATACATTCCAATATCATTTAAATAATATTCAACGATACAAAGAATTTCAAGCTGGAAATTTCAAAAAGGAAAAAAAGTTTCAAAATCATGTAGGTGTTACAACAAGGGTGGTTAGAAACCTTTAATTTTATACCAAGCTTATCAATGATTTTTTGTGTTTATCAGTATGTCATTTATTGTAAAATAAGAAATGACGAAGTTCGATTATAATTAAATGCATGTAAAAGAAAAACCTAATCATGACCAAATGATAACTGAGCTCCTGAAATGAGAGAGTGCTGATTAGTAATGCAGCGCCTGTGGCTTAGGAGGAGACCTTGGACCTGCTACCACTTCATTTGGCTGCAGCGGTGCCGCCCTGTGTGCCCCAGGTAGCTTGGATGTATTAGGGTTTTTGTTTTTTTTATAATGGATATATACATATCTCACATCCTTCTTTACATTTTTTAAAAGTTCAAGATGAATTTAATATCATGACTAAAACTAATGAAATAAATAGTAATTTTTCTATAGTGGCAAACTACATATGAGATATAATGTGGCTGTTTAACCATATTTAAGGGTACAATTCAGTGGCATTAAATACATTTTACATAGTTATGCAGCCATTACCATAATCTGTCCCAAAACTATTTTATCACCCCAAACAGAACTCTGTAACCATTAACAATAAATTGCTCTTTCTCCTCCCAAATCCTGGTAACCCCTAATCTACTTTCTGTCTATGAATTTGCCTAAATCAATAATTTTAGAATAGGGTTTTTTCAATTATATATACTCCTCTTGAGATTTTTGAGGCCTTACCTCTTTATGAACACTCCAAAAGTACCCCTCACTCCCCACTACAAACACCATTTCTACTCTCCCACAACTCCAGATAGAAATTACTGTGGTAACCCCTAAGCATTTGTAGATTTATCATTAGCTAACTTCATCTATATTGTAATTTTACTCAATGAATGACATTAAAAAAAGATTTATATGACATATAATATTTTTACCTTAATCATATAAGGTAATTCAGTTTCAGTGCTACTGAAGGATCACTAATATTGGGGTACTATTTTAAAGCATTTTGTGCTTTAACAGCACTTATGAATTTGGGAATTTTCAAAGATGTCATTGAGTGCATCCATCGAAAAGATCAAGCCTCTTAGTAGCCCTGAAGTGGACTTTAGCTGAAGCGTATTGTTACAATTTTTCAAGAATGATTTTCTCACAATATGGAGTGGGGACAGGGATCGTATAGAATATTTCACAGTATGGGAGGTAATATAGCAACGTGGGTTTTGCTTGTTTGTTTTTTAAAGATAAGTTAAGAAATACAGGTATATCCGTAAATTTATTGCCACCATTAATCACTGCCTGATGCAAAGTCAGATGTTTTTGGTGTTGTCATTTCATCCTCAATTGCAGTGACCTTCACTTACAAGGGATCTTTCCCCTCATCTTTCTGTCTTCCTCTCCTCCCCACCTCTTTCCGTTCCCTTTTCTTCAAAGCCAGGAATTGGGAAGTAGTCTCAAAGGAATCAGAAATGCCAACTAACTTGAGGCTCTTGGTCTTTTTTCCTTCAAATTCAAAATAAAAAAATTAGTAAACTTGTTATACTTCTGTCAATTACTAATTAATGACATTTGTATATTAAACTTGTTTCAGGTGTATAAATATATAGAAATTACACTAGTGCCTCATTTAAATTTTCATGCCCAGTGTTTAAATGTAGTTTGATGTCATAGAGATTTCTTTCACTATTATCACTGATATCTCAAACTAAAATGAGAATACTCCTTCTTCTACTGGCTTGAGCATTTAGGAGATATTAAGATTTATTTTCTTTTACTCCAGATGTGGATGAATGCTCTGAGAACATGTGTTCTCAACTTTGTGTCAATTACCCTGGAGGTTATTCTTGTTACTGTGATGGGAAGAAAGGATTCAGACTTGCCCAAGATCAGAGGAGTTGTGAGGTAACATTTTGCAATGCTAAACTTCCCATCTCTTCTCTAAAGTAAGAGATCCAGGTACTTATTTCCATAGAGCTGAGGTAAGTGGGGAAAATACAGATGTTCAACAATAATTGCCATTGTTCCATCTAGGCTATGAGTCACAGTCTGTTTACTAATGATAGTTATGCAAAGTCTTAAATAATTGGGAATAATTAGTGGCTGGGTAAAAATAAAAGCTGCAGGGTCACAGTTCAGAGAGTGCTCATCTGTATTGCATGCTGTATTGCATGTACATTTGCAAAATACAAAATATATGCTTATTCAAGAAACTTAAGGAAAACTGAGGTTTATGCTTCTTTTTGTGAGAAAAAAATCTTCCATAGAAACTTTAGCGAAAACATTTCCCAGTGTCTACTTTTCTTTATTCACCCTTCTGACAAGTTTGATCACGCCTTAGGCATGTTAGTACCTGCAAGAGTGCTCATAAAATCTCAGGTGGAAACAACCTTGTCAGACTAGTAGATTTAGTGGGGCTTAACTGTATCAAAATTCATAGAGGTTGAGTTTATTAATCTTTATCTCTTAAACTTCCTTTTAGTTACTTAGATTTAACACATAATTGACCCAGAAATTGAATGTTGGGGGTAAGTTCTAGTTTTTCCTTTATTGAAATGAATAGGTCAACCTCTGAAGCTATTTTTTTTCTAAATAAGGATCATGTGTTAGTAGTGATCTTTAGTCCAATTCTTGTATCTCTCTTTTTTTTTTTTTTTAAATATATCTTTATTGATTTCAGAGAGAGGAAGGGAGAGTGAGAGAGAGATAGAAACATCAGTGACGAGAGAGTCATGGATCAGCTGCCTCCTGCAGGGCCCCCTCCAGGGATCAAGCCCACACCTTGGGCATGCGCCCTGACCAGGAATCCAACTTCCATCTCCTGGATCATAGGTCAGTGCTCAACTGCTGAGCCGCGCCCGGCTGAGCTAATTCTTGTATCTCTTTTACTTTTTACAAGCGAAGGTGAAATTTATATGATTGTGAGGCAAACAGTAAAAATACAAAACCCTTAATAATGATTTAATCATGTGTATACACATACCTCTCAAGACAAAGCTGTATTATGTCCCCCCAAAATGTAACATTCAATATTATGCTACCTACTTGGTAAAAGAAGATAAGGTAAGATAGTTGGTATATGTACTAACTTTGGTAATACTTAATTGAAATGCCATTGCTGTGTGAATATCTATTTTGTAATTTAGTTTCTTATTATTTCAGTATTTGTTGTAGTTAAACAACACTGCCTCAGAATAGATTTATTAAAGTTCTAAGAGGAAATGAAATGTTATTTCTGGACCTAGATTTAATACAGTGCTATGTACATAATTTCTTCCAAAATAGTCAGTTATAAGACTTCCCATTTTAATGTTTATTTTTATTTTTAGGGGGGAAAAATACTAGATTTCCAATTTAATGATTCTAAATCACTGTTTTGTAGTTTCCTTGGAGACTATGATGATATCTCATTTCTGTTTATTCCATCCAGGTTTTCCAGTATTTAATTTGCTACCTAGAGAGCACAATTGTTACTCAGAAAATTTTTGCTTAATAATGAATGAGTGAATAAATGAGGTCCCATTTATTGGTACATTAATTTTCCCACCTACTTCTTACTCCAAATAAAAATAATTTTCAGATATAATTCATGGAAAGTATGATACTTGTATCAGTTAAATAAAGGGCTACATGTTGTTACTAGAGGAAAAAGTTTGCGTTTTGGATTTCAACTTAGAAAGGACATATTAAAGACAAAAATATGAAGCCACACACATTGAACACTATTTTAAAACACACGTATTCTTGGAGGTTACGTTACTGTACTATAAAAGGAGGTAAAAGATATTGCTTTATTATTATCAAGATGTTTTTAATTTATTTTAGTGTATCTCAGAGGGTACATTTAACAAGAACACTAGGAACCAGAGGAAGGATGTATAATCTGACAAAAACATCAAGCAGTAAACTATGTGTTTTGTTTGTTTTCTTTTCTCCAGGCTGTTCCAGTGTGCCTTCCCTTGAACCTTGAGAAAAATTATGAACTCCTTTACTTGGCAGAGCATTTCATCGGGGTTGTTTTATATCTAAAATTTCGCTTACCAGATTTCATCAGGTGAGGTACCACTGTCAGTGATAATTTCCAGTGGTAAGCAGTTTAGGACAGAAGAAGGAAGTGACTGAAAATGTTTGAAATGTATGAAATTGCATTATAAATCAGATAATTTAGGTATATTATCAATCAGATGACTTGGGGAACCCTAAAGTTAATTCGAGTTGTTTTCATGGATCTGACTCTAAAAGAAAGGGAAACAAAAGCACAAACAAACAAATGGGACTAGATCAAACTAAAGAGCTTCTACAAAGCAAAGGAAACCATCATCAAAATGAAAAGGCAACCTATTGAATTGGAGAAGATATTTGCAAATTATACCACCTGTGTTTCTTCTGTGTATTTTGTGGTTTCAGGTCTTCATTTTGATTTAATTTTTGTATATGTTGAGGTCTAGTTTCATTGTTTTGCATGGGGCTGACCAGCTTTCCCAACACCACTTATTGAAGAGTCTGTCCTTTCTCCATTGTATGTTCTTGATCCCCTTGTCAGGAATTAATTGTCCATGTATGTGTGGGTTTATTTCTGGGCTCTCAGTTCTGTTCCATTGATCTATTTTTATGCCAATATGATACCATTCTGATTACTGTAGCTTTGTAGTATGGTTTGAAATCAGGAAGTGTGATAACTCCAGCTCTGTTCTTCTTTCTCAAGCTTGCTTTAGCTATTTGGGATCTTCTGTGGTTCCATACAAATTTTAGAATTATTTGTTCTAATTCAGCAAAAAATGCCATTGGAACTTTTTTTTAATGGGGTTGAGGTTTGAGGGGACAGCTCATGGGGACTGAGGGTGTGGTGCCCCCTGCCCAGCTGGCCCTGGGGATACCCAGGCCTGGGGGCCTAAATTCCGGACAGTATCCTACAAAAGGGGATAAAAGAGGAAAGACTCTGGGATGGCGAGAGGGAGGGCTGTGGACCAGGAAGGGAGAGAGGGAGAGAAGAGGGGCAGACAGAGATGGGGAAGAGGAAGGTCTGAGGGATGGGGAGAGACAAATACTCCAGGAGGGGGAAGCGGAGGGACAGAGGGACAAAGACAGGAAAACAGAAGGGAGAGAGAGAATGAGAGGGGAGAAAGGGGAAGAAGCAGAGACTGAGAAAAAGAGAGAGACAGCACACAAGGGAGAGGGGTTAGAGAGAGACAGACAAAGGGAGACACTGAGAGACAGAGGAGAGTGGAGAACAAAAGGAAAGAAAACCACCAGGGGCGGGGAGGAAGGAAGGAGGGAGGGAGGGCTGCCTTGGGTGGGGGTGGCCAGACCCTTCTGTCAGGGAGGAGAGGGCCCTGTGGCTGAAGGGCAAGGCCATTGGAATTTTGCTAGGGATCGCACTGAAACTAGATTGCTTTGTGGATATTTTAACAATATTGATTCTTCCAATCCATGAGCACAAAATGTTTTTCCATTTATTTGTGTCTTCTTTAGTTTCTTTTATCAGCGTCTTATACTTTTCAGCGTATATGTTTTTCACCTCCTTGGTATTTGATCCTTTCGGATGTCATTGTAAATGGGGTTGTCTTAATTTCTCTTTCTGATACTTTGTTGTTAGTGTGTAGAAACACCGCAGATTTCTTTACATTGATTTTGTGTCCTGCAATTTTGTTGAGCATTTATTAGTTCTAACAGGTGTTTTGGTGGAGTCTTTAGGGTTTTCTATATGTAATATGTCATTTGCAAATGAGTTTTGCTTCTTCCTTTCTGACTTAGATACCTTTTATTTCTCTAGCCTAATAAAACTGGCAAGAGTGTGCATCCTTGTCTTGTTTCTGCTCTTAGCTTTCACTTTTTCCCCATTGAGTATGTTGTTAGCAGTTGGTGTGTCATATGGCCTTTATTATGTTGAGCTACGTTCCCTCGATACCCACTTTGTTGAGAGTTTTTACCGTAAATGGATGTTCAATTTCGTGAAATATTTTTTCTGAATCTATTGGAATGATATATGATTTTTATTCTTTATTCTGTTAATGTGGTGTATCACGTTGATTGATTTGTGCTGTTGGATCATCCTTGCATCCCTGGAATAAATTCCACTTGATCATGGTATATGATCCTTTTGATGTAGTGTTGTATTTGGTTTGCTAATATTAGACTTTATCTTTTAAGCTCTTTTTCCATGTATTCTAGTATAGTGATTTATGCAATTAGAGTTTGGGAGACCTTTTGAAATCAAGCTAACAGATTCATTTTAAAGTTTTTGACTTTACCTTTTTTACCACACAGGAAGGCTTAACTATGTTTGCAATCATCCAGATGTTGAGTGATTCCTTCCTGACATACATGAAATCATAGGGAAAGTATGCTTTTTGATGGATAAACCAATCATGAAATTGCAATATCTTTTACTAACCACTTACAGATACAGCAATAAAAGAATCTTAATCAGATTATATAGTGTATAAAAGGTTCCAGGAGAGATCCAATATGCCTAATATTTGTACATGTGCATTTATTCCAACATTTGAAAGAGTGCCTCCAAAGCAAATGCCAAAAAAAGATGAAAAATTACCAAAGTATCTGTTCACTGGGAAAAAAGACTCCAAGAATAGGCAAGAAATTTTAATAACTTGATTTTAAACACACATGGAGCCAGACATAATACACCAACAGTCTAATTCTGCCCTTCTCTTTATTAATTCCAGGGACAGAAATAGTTGACTCTTTCAACATACTGCTTTTTGCCAGTGCAAGAAAAAAAAGAATGCTAAATTGAGCCTTCCATATTTTCACTATTAAGGCTCTCTCTTTGTCCACTGTTTAGATTTTCAGCAGCATTTGATTTCCGGACATATGATTCAGAAGGTGTTATCCTGTTTGCAGAAGCTCTTGATCACTCAGCTTGGCTCCTGATTGCACTTCGTGATGGGAAGCTTGAAATTCAGTTTAAGAATGAACATACAACCCAAATCACAACCGGAGGTCAAGCTATTAATAATGGTTTGTGGAATATGGTATGTTGTGCAGATTTCATAAAGAATCTTTCCACTTTGACACAGTTTATATAAAATGATTAATAATTTATTTTTATAGTGATACCAAACCTAAATGGAGTTGGGTTTAATCTGATGTTGTATGGAGTATATTGTATGTACTGCAAATCTATGAAATGGCCTGAGGAAGGATAATCTGGCATATTTAGGAGTCATAACTGAAGCTGTTTCCAGTTATTTGCTTGACCTATTCTGTCTTTAATTCTTACCCTTTTTAGTGTCTGTCCCTGGGTGAACAGTGGTGTCTTTCCTATAGGCCAGGGGTTATTAGCTGGCATAATAGTTTATGCAAAGACACCACTAGATAGCCACCAATTTTTTTAAATGAAAGAGAATTACACATAGGAACAAAATCAAAGTTAATTTGATTTTAAATATCAGCATATAGATAATCAACTTGTACAAACAGTTTACATTAGCCAGTAGCAATCAGAGTGCCTAGGAACAAGCAATTTTAGATAATCCCTGATCACGAGCCTTTATTTTAATAATCAATAACAACACTTTAATCAACTGGATTATAATGGAGATTTCCTTTGAGAAGGAATTACTGCTAGTCACAGTGGGGAGAATTCTTTTCTGCAATAGAGCTGTTGCTACTTCCAGCAGAGCATAGCTTAGATCAGCTTCACCTTAGAACGTGGTACCCAAAAGAAGGACTTTCTGTGCCTGTGGGAGCTGATGAGAAGTCCATGTGGTGAAGCCATGTGAAGTCATCACAAAATTTATTCCTTTATTTACTCACTCATGCATGCATATATTCAATAAGCTTTCCGTGAGCACCTTCAAAGTGCTAAGTTCCTGAGTACAAGGCACTGGAACTATAGAACAGGTCTTCCTTACTCTTGAGCTTAGTTCCTCACAGTTTAGCAGCTGATGCTGCGTTATGACTTCTTGTCTGTATCTCTGGGGGTTTGTGGACTAATGCAATGTAATGTGAAATATGTTACAGTAGAGGGAGTGATAAAGTACAGTTGAGCACAGAGGTGGTTCACCAAAGAGGGGGGGCTCTCTGTCCTTTGGCAGCCATAGATTTGGGGCTCTTAACTCTAAAAGAATAGTGTCTGCACAGGTTCAGATGCAGCTGTCAGAGAAATCACTAAAATTCTTTGACTTTTGATGCTCTCATTAGATGCTTTGCTACTATGTCTGTATCTAGAGTAGTTGATGCATATAGCTAAAGGATATATTTTACTGCCTAATGTCCCAAAATAACATGTCTAAAATCACTAAAATCACTTTTTCAGCAAAAGAGGAGAAACCTTTTTTCCCCAGTGAGTTTATACAAATAGAAAGTAGCTGTTTGAAGGAGAATTTTGATAAATGCCTAAGGAGGATATGTGATGTATAGTGAAGAAGGTAAATGTTTACCTGTGAGATTAACATCATGAGTTGCAGATCACATTTATTTTATTTAAAAAATTAAAAAAATGTATATCTTTATTGATTTGAGAGAGAGGAAGGGAGAGGGAAAGAGAGAGATAGAAACATCAGTGATGAGAATCGTCATGATCAGCTGCCTCCTGCACGCCCCCCACTGGGGGTCGAGCCTGCAACCCGGGCATGTGCCCTGACCGGGAATTGAACCCCAATCTCCTGGATCCTAGGTTGATGCTCAACCGCTGAGCCACGCCTGGCTGGGTTCGTATTTATTTTAAATGGTTATTTATTTTAAAAGGGTGCCTAACATATGATTACTTTGCAAAGTTATTTACTGGAATAATAACAGGATTGTTCAAACTTAGTACTTAAAATGACATGCGATGATGTTTGGTTGTTTGATAATCCCTGTCTTTTTAATTGTAGGTCTCTGTGGAGGAATTAGAACAGAGTATTAGTGTGAAAATAGCTAAAGAAGCCATTATGAATATAAATAAACCTGAAAGCCTTTTTAAGTCTACAGGTGGATTTATGGAAACCAAAGTATACTTTGCAGGATTACCTCAGAAAATGGAGAATACACTCATTAAACAGGTAATGATCCAAGCGTGTATCATTCATTACAGAAGAATTCCTTTTGTCTTTAATAGATTTGAAGATACTACAAAAGCCAAAAGAAGTTATTTTATTGAACATACCAACTGTGACAACTTGAGTTGAACATGGAAAAATAACATTAGTGGCCCTTGAAATTATATTAAGGAAATAAGAAAATGAGTGTAATGTTTTGAGCCCATTTAACCCTCTAGCATTACTCATGGAGAAATAGAAAAACCATTTTTTTTTTTAAATCCTTACCTGAGGATATTTTTCCATTGCTTTTCGGAGAGAGCAGAAGGGAGAGAGAGAGAGAGAAAAGTATCGATGTGAGAGAGACACATCGATTGGTTGCATGTGTCCCAACTGGGCCGAGCCTACAACTGAGATACGTGCCCTTGGCTGGAATCGAATCCTGGGACCTCTCAGTCTGCAGACTGACGCTCTGACCACTGAGCAAAACCAGCTAGGGCAGAAAAGTTTATTATTTACTCATTTGTTTATTTTTGGAGGTGCTACTGGAAGGTTAGCCAACATTTATTAGACATGGTAGGGAAAGTTTTCTCGCTATGCATTATAAAAAGGACAGCCAGATATCAACTATCACAGAAATGAAATAAGATGAACATTTTTAACAAACTGAACTATTTTCTTTTTTTTCTCATATATATCTTTATTGATTTCAGAGAGAGGAAAGGAGAGGGAGAGAGAGAGATAGAAACATCAATGATGAGAGAGTCACTGATCGAGCCCACAACCTGGGCATGTGCCCTGACCAGGAATCGAACCCTGATCTCCTGGATGCTAGGTCAACGCTCAACTGCTGAGCCACGCCCGGCTGGGCCTGAACTATTTTCTTAAAGAGACTTCCTCTACTCCCAGAGATCTTGAACAGCCTCCTGGTCAGTCATTGGAAGCCATGCCTCACATAATTGATAAGCTTGTCTTCCACTTTGGGAAGAGAACCACTTTTTCCTATACTTGCTTTCAGAGAAATAGAAAATTTAAAATTCTTAAACTTCAATTCACTGCTAACATCTTAACAGTTCATACTTAGCCATTAAACATATAAATACATACATTTGAATCCAAAAATACATTAGTTTGTAAAGTCAGTCGAAGAACTTTTGTAGGACTACTTTAGCACTTAAATTTGGGAGATAAGAGTGTCACATAAGATGGAACTTTTTATTTAAGAAATCTTTCCTGGGAATATGACTGCAGCCTGTCATACCTTGAAGTTACACACAGTAGATGATTTTCTGAACATGATCTTTGCCTAATAACTGCGGAATGGGTTTCATGAAGGAGACTAATCCCTGTCCTTGAAGAGTTTTAAATATTTCATCTGAAATCATGGATCTACCAATTGTACCTGCTGATTTAACTTAAATATTTTCTGTTTTATATCTTAACTTTCATTCATGGCAATTCACAGTTACCTTAACTTAAAAGATTTCTGCGATATAATAGAAAGCCTGAATTAGTTAACCCATGTCAGAGTGACTATATCTGTTCTTTGAAATTGATAAATCGAGACACTTTAACAGTAAAATAAATTACTCAAAAAGAATCAACTATTTATGACATGGCCACTGCATGTCTACTGTCTGACTTGATGCCATGGTGAGGCTAACGAATTGAAACACTTTAGTTCCTGAAGAGGCCTTGAGTCTGATGGCAAGAAAAGCCTGTGTGGTAAATGCAATTAAAGGAAAACAGAAAAGTTACTCCTGAATGACATACAAGAGGCAGGTAGGGCTTGAGGTATTAAAAATTATTAGGATCTTAGTGGAGGCTTGTGATGGCATAAACTCACTTTCACTGGAGAAGACTGTCCACCGAAAGGACACTTGGAAAAGAAAATTTTAGGTAAAGTTCAAAATATTTAAAATATTTAAGAAATTCTATCAAAGAAAAAGTTTTCCCTCTAAACGAAAACCTGTGTCTATAACTGGTTAAGCTATTATCACTCTGACTTACAAGTTAAAAGTGCACTCCTTGATGTGTATTCTATTTTGTTAGATTAACCCTCGTCTAGATGGATGTGTACGGGGCTGGAATTTGATGAATCAAGGAGCTTCAAAAGTAGATGAAATTATTCAAGAAAGACAAAATAAGCATTGTTTTATCACTGTGGAGAAGGGCTCCTACTATCCTGGTTCTGGAGTTGCTCAATTTAGCATAGATTATAGTAAGTGATTTCCCGTTTTATCTCTCTTTTCTCATTAATGACTAAATTTATTCATTGATAAACAGTATTTCCTTTAGTAAACCTTATGAGTACCTGCTTTGTGCCAGGCATAGTGTTAGGCTTATTCATACTGTTACATACTTTTTATAAAAATTTCCCAGCATATTGGGGATACAAAGTAGTTGAATATGCCTATGTTATTATTTAAAGATATTGGCACATAGCCTGTTTAATTTGGGGTAAATTCAGCTGAAGATTCAACAATTTCTTAGTTGTATTGAGTCTACTGATTAATGTATCAAAAGGATTCATCTTCATTTTTAGCATTTCCATTTGATCCTTAAAATTTCCACCTCTTTCTTGAAATTTCCTATCTGTTCATACATGCTGTCCACCTTTTCCACATGAGCCTTCAACATATTAATCATAATTTTTTAAAATTCCCTGTCTGATAGTTCCAATATCTGTGTCATATCTAAGCCTGATCATGTTGATTGTTTTGTCTCTTGACCATGTGTTTGTTTTTTCCTTTCTTTCTTCCATATCACATAATTTTTTTTTTTTAAAGGCGGGCATCCTTTGTAGAACAGTAGAGACTGAGATAAATAATATTTAGATCTGGAAATCAGCACACCTCTGCTTTTGCTAGGCCATTACTGAGGCATGTTGAATCAGTCTACTCAAGAGTGAGCAGCTTAGGTTTTGCTGTTTCTGTGATTACTCTTCAAATTCCTTTAATAGTATCTTGTGCTTAGGGTAGCAGCTGGTTTGCCAGAGGTTTTTTCTTAATATCTGATCTATCCTAAGGTTTAGGTATTCTCTTTATGATCAGCATCAAGAAAGTGTCTCTCCATGGTCTTGCCTCACCCAGCAGAGTTTTCTTTCTTGTTTCTTTTCATTTGCTAGCATATTAGAGGGGTTTGGGAGTCGGGGCTGGGAAGGAGAGTATTCTCTATTGTACCAGTACAGATTCAGTCTTAGATGAGTGTTGTATTCCTGGGACTCAGGGTTGGCCTTTTCATTGACTCTCGCCCTCACACCAATAGAATTGATATCTAGGATTCAAGGTGTTTTTCTGGTTCTTCATCGTAGATCATCTGTGTGTGTGTGTGTGTGCGCGCGCACGCACGCACATGTTTTACTTGTTTCCTTTCCCTAATCTGTAGGTATAATAGATCTTCACGTGTGTCCTAGTGGTGACAGATTTTCAATCTTTCCAGCATGCTTTAAGGCTTTTGTTGTGTAGAAGAAATAGAGAAGGATCTGGGTGGGACCTTGTCCCTTTTCTGCTGGTGGCTGCTGCTCTTTCCCAGGCCTGCACTAGGAGGAAGGCTCTCTTTAATCTCTTTCTCTGCCCCATTTTTGCTCTTAAGCACCCAGTAAGGTCTGTGTAGAAAGCCTGTGAATGGATATGAATTTCTCGTGTGTCTGCAGTGCCCAGAGCTGCTTTATCATACCAGCTCCCACTAGGACTTTAGCAAGCTGTTAAAATTTTACCTAAATTCTTCTTACCAAATTGTATAATATCTAGTGTTTGCCTTGAGTAAGTGAGGACTCTCATCCTGTCCCTCCTCGGAAGCACCTGTCTTTCTTTAGGTTTCTAATTAGCTGCTCTGCAATCTCAGCTCTTTGATAGTCCAAGAAAAGTTGTGATTATGTAGATAGATAGGCTCTTGATGTTGTAAGAGTGGGAGCCGTGCTCTTTCCAGCTTTCTACAGTCGAAGTAGACTTGCCAGACTGATCCCAGGTTTTTATCTTTATAAATAATACTTCCATGAATGTCCTTGGACATACATCCTTGTACCCATATGTAATTAATTCTGTAGGACAGATTCTTAGATTATTTCTCTTAGAGGTTATGCAAATGTATAATTATTACTGTTTGATCAGACTCTTTTCCAAAGGTGTTTTGTCAATTTCAACTCCTACCAACAGAATAAGTAGATTTATGCTTGAGATTTCTTTTTAACAGAGAGTCAAAAAGTTAAATCTACAGTTTTAAGGAAGAGCTTTATACCAGTACTTTCCCCGTTTTTCTAACATAAATTAATATAGGGTTTTTAACTTTTACTTCTGTAAATGAAGAATTTTTTAAAAAAATATTTGAATTGACATGATGACTGAATATAGGAAAATAATTGACCCACAACAATTTGTTGAAAGAAAAATAAATCTCAGAAAAAAATGAAAATAAGAGTTATATTGTATCTGAAAAAATACTTTAATAAATAATTAGTTTGTTATGGATAACTTAAAAGAGATCTACTTTTAAATTAATATTTAATGTTATGTTATAATTTCTGTACATTTGTACGTTTATTTTAGTTTGACTTTGTTAATACCTTTTAATAAATGTACTTCAAAATGATTATATATAATATATATTTTCTCTTGGGTGGGAATTAGAGGATTATAATGAAAACATGTAATAGCATTGGATGTGGCTAAATGGAAGAACATCTTGTCAAAGGAAAATCATTTTTTCCATTCACTCTTTCAAAGCCTCTAAGTGGTATTTGAGTTATTGTTATATATTACTTTATATTAAATGCGGAAGATTTCATTCAGATTGTGAACTAATATTGCTAGGAATCAAACTATTTTGGAAACATATTAATTCAACAAATATGTGTTGAGTGACTTCTTTGGAAAACACAGTGATGGTAGAGGCATGTAGAGAGCTTGCATTCTAGTGTGGTAGACAATTAACCTAGTAATTAAGAAAAAGAATATTAGGTATTATGGAAAGAGAATCAGAGAGAAGAGTTTCTATTCAAATGTCAAAGTTAGCTGTTGACTTAAGAGTATTTCTCTACTATCAAACTCCCCAACTCCCCCAGGCATAGAAATCATAGTTTTCCTTTTTACTGCTCTAACCTTACCCCTTTATGGATGAGAAGTGGTGGAGTTGTGATGGTAACTATACCTAAATTTTCCCTCAGAAATATTACAATTTGTTGGACTTCCTTCTAAATGTGTACTTTAAAATATGACCACTGAGATTTGAGCATTGATGAATATGCAAAGCAGAAAGAAGAGCTGTTAAAGAGCAAACAGGAAATGCATAATAATCCTAAAGGCCACAGTCCAGAAGTCCACTCGAGGAAGAACAGAAAGATAGGGCTCTATTTACATGTTTCTTTCCTGCATTGATTTTCTTCTTGTGTTTTGTTTTGCCAGATTATATAGATCATTGAGCAGGGGGGACCAAAATCTGTAGTATTACAAAAAGTGGCTTTGAGAATTAATAATATTGTAATAATTCCTTCTGGTATAGTTTAGCTGTACATTGATCCTAATTTTGTTTTTTGTTTTGTTTCAACAGATAATATAGTGAACCCCGATGCTTGGCATGTTACTGTGTTTTTGAATATTCGCCCATCCAAGGGCACTGGCATTATTTTTGCCTTGGTTTCAGATGACACGGTGTCCTTTGCCTTGTCCTTGGTGGACTCCTCTTCTGAGAAGCTTCAGGTAACTTTATTCTAACCCTTTATGATCCTTGGTGGTTTCTTTTTAATAATCTGTAAAATAGATATAACAGCAGTATTTGCTTCAAAGGGCTATTTTGAAGATTAAATGAGCGAACTGATGTCAAAGTATTTGATACAATCTCTAGCACATCATTAAGGACTCAATAAATGTCCATTATCGTTACTTTTTTGCTGTCTTATTTCCAAGGTCTGAACCAAGAAGTAAGGGTAAGAGACTGACAAGCTTTACTGCATCTGTAGCTAAGATTAGGCAGACTCAACAGGCTGCTTGGAGCCTCCCCAGAGTATGTGGGGATCCACCCTTATTCAGAATCCTTGAGGAGTCCTGGGCATTAGTTGGTACTCGCACAACAGAAGTGAGCCTGACTACAGCCTTCTCTCAGATGCTCATTGCCTAATTATAATGTTTGTGCTTTCTGGCACACTTCATCTTTTTCCCCACAAGTAAATTAGGAAAGACTAGAGAAAACGAAAACCAGTTCACGTGGCTTCTTTCTGGCAACTCTGGTTTGAAATGAGGAGGAAGAACAGGAAAAACTCTTGCTTCAAAGGAAACATGAGAGTTATCAGAAGATCTGTTTATGCAGTTTTCTATTAGAGGCTAATAGCTTCGTCCACGTGTCATCCGCTGTGGATTCCAACAAGTTACAGCAAGAAGCTTGCATTTGTGCCAGGGTTGGCTTGGGTGCTCTCTGGAGCTTCTAGAAAGAGACATATAATTGAATAATGTCTGTAGTAATGAATGGGTGCTGTTTGCAACTTAAAAAATAACTTGGAGGGCTTTCTCGTGCTTAACCATAAGCAACCTAAAAAGATCCTGCTGAGTTTTTATCTCCAGACTACCATCACAGGAGCTTACTACGCTGGGGTTTCAGCTTTTTACTTGCTTGTTTGGATTTTTAAAACAAAATGGAATTCCTATCTTTAACGCTACATTCTTGCAGTGGTGGTTAACTCCTGCTGGCCATGTCTTTGGTATTTATTTTATCTCTTTGTGTTCGTCTCCATGGCCCTCTGTTTTGGCATGTCAGATTGCTTTCTCAGAATCTGAATACATTGTTCTTTAACACTATTCCACACATTAGTGATCATTCTGGAACATCTCAGCTGACTGTCTTTAAGTCTTAATGAGGTCAAGAACACAGAATATATAACACAGTAACAGATTTTCTCGAATAACTTATATCTGAGATGCATAGACTTCACTTAATATAGGCATCTTGGGTTCCTGAGTAAACACTTCAGACTGTCTTTCTGCCATTTGACAGCACTGCATCTCCCTAGTTTTGATTTTATTTTCTCTCGCATTTTACATTTCCTCTGTATGTATATAAGCAAATGCATAGATCATGCTCAACAAGTCAAGTAATTTTGTGTATCAGTAGTTTGAAAAGTTCAGCAAAATAAATACATTTTCTGTTTTGAGAATCTTCTGATAAATACTCTGTAACTTACTGCTGGCGATCCCTGGTTTTTCTCTCTGAGTTTCCTCATACACTTTGCCCCACGTCTACAGGGTTGCTTGGGTGGCACAAAAATCCCTTCAGTCTTGCTGGCATGTGCTTACTAAAGCTCTATAAATTTTCCAAGTCTTTTTTCCAACAAATAGTGATTCAACTCCTTTCTTTTTTATATGTAAGTTTTGAAGTTAGGAAGGCTAATAAACAGAAAAATATTGCTTAAGACACTGCTTTTTAGGTTCCCGTTGTGGGTATCACAACTCTATTGGTTTATTGAATTTTCAGAAGCCACTATACATTTACATTTTAGCTAACCCTGAAATTTATAAAATTAATGTACATTCTAAAATTATGATTACTATAATAATTAGTAATTATTCATTTAATCTCAGAGGCTCTATCATACTTTTTTTTTTCTCACTGAAATTCAGTTTATGATTTAAAAAACTCCAAGCCACTCTTAAGTGGCATTACCATCAGTACTTGCTTATTCTGGGTCTGCCTGTTCTTCAGGATATCCTGGTATCTGTTGAAAACAAGGTAATATCCCGGATAGAGGCCTTAAGTCTGTGTTCCAATCAACAATCCCATCTGGAATTAAGAATCAACAGAACAAATGTGGAGCTGTTGACGCCACTTAAAAATGACATCATCTACTCGGAAGATTTTCAAAGAGAATTTGGCAGCTTGGACAGAGCAATAAAAGGAACAGTAGCCACTTACCTGGGTGGCGTTCTAGGTATCTGCTCACTTTTTCTTCAGTTTCAGAAAGTGTATTTTTAATCACATCGATAGTATTTTAAATAAGTAATTTTAGTAAAAGGGCACCAGAAGGGAAGACAAAGTTCCTGTATCCATTATTCTTTTCCTGCGGGTTGGTATTTACATTTTATTGTACTTTTTTTTTTAAAGGTGAACCTGAAACTAACCAAATTTTGGTGCATTTAACTATCCTGGCCAGAAAGAATTTATTATTTCATCTTGCCTTCACAATACTCTTATGAATTCAGTATTTATTCTTCAATTCATCCATCCCTCACCCAATATTTCTTAAGAATCTATGTCCTTAGCACTAAAAATATAGTAATAAACACATAGACATGATCCCTGCTACTAAGGCTTTTACAGCCTAGTGGCAGAGGTGGACATTAAACAAGTAATTAAGAAAAATTTTTTAAAAATTAAAATTGTGATAACTTTTATGAAGGAAAAGTATGAGTTGCTTTTACAGCCTGAAAATAGGGAATTGTTCTGGTTTTGGGGGCCAGAAACAAGCTCCCTGAGGAAGAGATTAAGATATAAATATATTTTTTAAATTTATTTTTTATTGAATTTATTAAGTTGACATTGGTTAGTAAAATTATATTGGGTTCAGGTGTACAACTCTATAACACATCATCTGTATATTGTATTGTGTGCTCACCACCCCAAGTCATGTCTCCTGCCATCAGCATTTATCTCCCTTTACCCTCTCCTCCTTCTTCCCACCCAAGATATAAATCTGATATTTGAAAGATTAAAAAAGCTTAACCAGGTGGTAGGGGTGGGGATTGGCATTAATATGCAGGTAAAATGGTCCATGGGCTGGAAAAATGGGAAGGGGTTGGCGTGCTCGAGGAATATATAGGTCAGTCTGGTGAAAGCACGTTGAGCGGGGGGTGGCCGTGCAGGGCGAGGCTNATTAAGGGTTTGTAGGCCTGGGTCAGGGTCCTGAGTCTAATTTTAAGAGGTATGAAAAATCATTAAAAAGTTTTAGACAAGGAAGTTGTATATCATCAATATAGCACCCTGTGTAGTGGGTGGAGATGGACAGATGGCAGGCAAAAAAGGAAGAGATGAGTCGGGGCTTCCTGAAGAAGCGGTGTTAATAGCAGCAGCGACAACTATACTACCATCAGCTGGTGCATCATAAACAGCCTGGGAAGTGTTCAGAGTGCTTCAAATGTATCCACTCCTTGAATTTTCAAAATAGTTCTGTGAGGTAGGTACTATTATTAACCCTTTTTACAGATGAGGAAGCTGTTGAGCTAGGGTGATGGCAGTTGAGGTGGTATACAGTGAGTAGATTGGAGATGTGTAAGAGAAAATTAATAGGATTTAACGGTTGAAAGGCGGGTATAGAATCTCCTAGGTATCTGGCATGAGCAGTAGCATGGGTGAAGATCTCACACCAAGATGGGGAAAACTGGAGGAAAAGCAGGTTTCTTTAACTTGAATGCCTCCAGAGATCTTTAACTTAATACCTCTTGTATTGGAAAATATGAAATTGGCATAAATATTTTACTTTAAATGGCAAAAAAATTGAGGCAGAAAGTTCTTTAGAACTTTCAAATACCTTTGTAGGTTATTCTCATGGGGAGATTTCTGAGTCTGATGTCTGGACTTGTAGTAATCTTCATTATATTACTTTAACTGATCAGGGTCTTCATTTCCCATATATATGAAATTTTTATATGGGTTCTTGGGGAATATAAGAAAATAGGCTCTAGCAGTTAGATGATAGATGATGATAGGTGATAGATAGATAGATGATAGATAGATAGATAGATAGATAGATAGATAGATAGATAGATGATAGATAGATAGGTGATGATAGATAGATAGATAGATAGATAGATAGATAGATAGATAGATAGATAGATAGATGATAGATAGATAGATAAAGATAGTTAAGTAAGTTGGTTGATTATTAGGATGTTAAGTTAACATGGTTAAGTATTAGAAATTATAATTAGAGTTCAAATGAATAAATTCTACCTTGAAACCCATCTACTACCTTATTTACAAATTATTTGAATACAATTCTAGGAAATCAAACAATGAAAGAGTTCGGAAGAAGTAAAGTCATGAAAATTTCAGTGGTTCCAAGACTTTGGTGGTAACGCTGTAGACAGATGTCAGGCAAGATGAGTTTAGAAAAAAAGAAGGGGAGCTGACAACTGAGAGATTAAGAGTGTCAACTGTGGGCTTGGTAAATTATAGTTGATGTGCAAAATAGGCATGTTAAATTGCATGTTATGAATTAAAAATCAGGGAAAATGGACTACTCTGAGGTTTTATATAATAGTGGCATAATCTATTGTGCTCAGCCAGACTTAAAAGGGTTTCTTAACAAATGTTACAAGCCCACAGAAAAGTGTATTGTCAGGTTAGAGGTTCAAAATTTAAAGTATTTCTATTTTGCATAAGGTACTGAGGTAGAAGAGTAAGGACTGAGAGTATCTATTGGGAATTAAGATTTACAGAGAGGAGATGCCAAAAAAAAGAGAAGGCAATAGAGAGATGGATGTTTTTAAGATGAACCATAGTTCTTAGGAATCCAAGGGTGTTACTTAAGTATTAAGTTTGATAAAGTAGAAAAGCCCCAAAGGCCATAAACTATTCACTGAAACATCATTAAAATTGTTATTTTTTAGAACCTAACATTACATAAAAGTGAATTCGCTATCATGATCTGCCAATGTGTGCTCAGCAAGAAACTATTTCTTTGGAAAATACAGAAATTTGCTTTTATTCCAGTAATAATAAAAGAGATATATTTATTATGACATTTAAAAAAGACTTCTAAGTAGCTGTAACTTAGAGTTGAGAAAATGGTTTAACAATGCTTAAGCTGTTGCTCAGATTTAAAGAGACAATAATGAAGTTCAGCATTATAAGTAAGAATGTGCTTGTCTCTCTCTTCTTTAAATGTGTTTATCTTGGGTTTGGATGGAACTGATTGTGTTTAGGAAGTCAGAGGAACTCATGTATGCTGAGCTCAGTGCCATGCACTATACCTCATAGACATAGGAATCTCTTAATATAAATTTATTAAATAGAATTACAGTATTAACTTTTCCTTTAGAGTTAGAATTTGGTTGGAAATGGGAAGTCTGAATAATTCCTCTAAGTGTAAGCAAATAAGATGGTAAAATTCTTGGACTAATATTTTAATATTCTCTTTTTCAGTTACTGCTTTCAATGCGACACCAGTTAATACCTTTTTCAATGGCTGTATGGAAGTGAACGTGAATGGTGTACAGTTGGATCTAGATGAAGCCATTTATAAACACAGTGATATCAGAGCTCACTCATGTCCATCAGTTTTGAATAGCAATGAGAGTCCTTAAGTCATCTTTTCTCTGCTGATAACATCTTTTTCCTGTAATTATACTTATGTTTCAATACTAGTTGAAGGATTTTACTTATGAGAGGCAGACCTTATGGTACTTTGACCTTTTTGGAATTTTAAAAAGGTCCTTTTTCAAGAAAACAAGATTCTCTTGTGATATAAATCACATTAAAAAAATTCTTACCTCTGTTGCTGCCCAGAAACTAAATAATGAAAAACATAAAAAAATTTAATTTGAATTTTTGCTACAAATGACATTTCTTCATTTTTATGTTTGTAAAAGTAAATTTTAATTGTATCGTCATGAATTAGTGTTTAAATATCTATTTTTCTTGGAAGGCAAGGAAGTAAACCTAAACAAATGTTCATGGGGGTCTATACTGTTGATCATAATAGATAATATTTTATTTGTTTTTGTTTCTTCTTAATGAAGGCAGGAGAAGAGACAGTGGCCTATTAATTTTAATCGAGCAGGAGGCCTTACAGCTTTATTCCAAAACAATTCCTCAGGGGTACCAGCTTTGGCTTCATCTTTCTTTCACTGGCTTCACGTTTGAACCAGTGGTTTTACTGAATTAGAAAACAAGTGGACACATTTTCAGACAGCAGCACATGAATCTTGCTGGTGACTAATTGGATTCCTTGAGGATGAGCTACCAGGTTGTGTTGAGATGGGTGTGGAAGCTGGGGGTGGGTACGTTCCTTAGATTTGGCTGTGGCGGTCACATAAGCTCTAGATTAGAAAAAGCAGAACCTCGTGACAGAAAGAATGAATGATTCCAACTTCAGTTACCAGAGTAAGTTGCCAGAATGTGACTGATTATAGAAGAACAAAAGGAATGTTGAAAACTGAAATAGATTTTAATGAAAGAATAACAACAGAGGGACCTAGTTAACATTGTGTCTTTGAAGAAAGCAGTTTTATCACTCCTAAACCTCCCATTCTCTTTAGGAATGTATCTGGTGTTTCATTGACAGTTTGAGAAAATAAACTTTTACCCCCACTATAGATATTTTATATCATGTAAAACATAATAAATTGGTGTATATTTTAAAAATGTATATGCATGATATCTATATTCCATCACCTCTTCGAACAGAACATAAAATTACAGCTGTGGCCAGGTAGCTCAGTTGGTTAGAACACCGTCTAGATATGCCAGGGTTGCAGGGTTGGTCCCTGGGCAGGGCTCATAAAAGAATTAACCAGTGAATGCATAAATGATTCCCAACAAATCGATGTCTCTCTCTCTCCCCCTTCCTCTCTCTCAAAAAAAAAAATCAATAATTTTTTTAAACAGTTGCTAAAAAATGAACATAAAATTGCATAGTATACATGTAATTCTTCATGCAGCACAGTAGTTCTTTAGTTCAGAGGCAGATTAAACGGAAATATTTGATGAGTAGTTACGACTGCATTGTAGACTGGGGCTGAGAAAGGAAGGAAAGCAAAAGTCACGCATATTGAGTATTTGCCAGAAATTGGGCCAGACGCCATCTTACTGGATGGCATTTCTCTCCCAGTTACCACCGTGTACTGTGGGTGATGAATTTCAGCAAGCAACTACTGATAATTATGTTGGTATGAAGAAAGGATGCAGAGCCTTGGCCAGTGTGGCTCGGTTGGTTGAGCATCTAGCCGTGCACCAAAATTGGTTGCGGTTTGATGCCTGGGCAGGGCGCATACCCCATACATGGATGTTTCTCTCCCTCTTTCCCTTCCCCTCTCTAAAACCAGTAAAACATATCCTCAGGTGGGGGTGAAATAAAAATAAGTAGAAAAACAAAGTATATGAAAAGAAAAAAAAATAAAGAATGGAAGAAAAGGAAAAAAGAATTGGGGGGGGAGGCCTCTCTGATTCTCATTTAATTATGCCCAAATACATTGAGCTATAGGGATCAATTCCACATTTGTCATCAGAAATACAACTTTCCAATATACAATAATCTTCTTAGAGGTTCTAAATACTTATTTATGAATTTCATCTGTCTTTGAGATGGACTCACATACGGTGCCTAGACCTGAGGCTAAGAATCTTTCATTTGATCTTAGTCAAGAAATTCAGATTCCTACTTTTAAAGAGAACAGTGGTGTTGAACATTAGGCAAGAGAGATTGTAGTCTGCCAGCTTGCTGATGTTAATAACATTGGGAAATATAGATCTGCAGGGGCATGCCCAGCAGCAGCGGTCCGGAAAGAATCTGTGACTCATCGGAAGTGGGTGCGTTTAGACAGCAGGTGTGGTGACCAACAACAATGAGATTTCATATCTGTGGAAGGGAGTGACTGGGAGGCCCACAAGGACCCTGGTAGAGTTCTCGTTTCAGTTCAGTCAAGACAGTGCTTAGTTCAGATACTCTAAAATTCCTTCATTCTGTCTTAGTGGGCAGTTGAGCTTCAAAATATTTTGCAGTGGATGAAAATCTTAAACAAGATGGTATTTAAAAATGTAGAACATAATGAAATTTGTATGCCTTGATTTGCTTTTACATTTTTATGCAGAGATTTGAAAATATAAAGCTAATATCTTGCTTGGCAAAGATTTTTAAGATATCTCTATATATGATTATTGATTTAAAAAGAACCACCTACTCACTTTTCAGAGTATATGTTTTTAATTAAGGAGCAAAATTGTATTTCAGATTTGTGATGCCAGGAACATGAACAAACTAAAAGTTACTGTGCAGTTGTCAGAAACAATAAAGCCAGCTTTTTGTGAAAAAATAAAAGAGAACAATGGTTTCAAGTAGCATATTTGGTGCTATTTGAGCTTTGTGTCACGAAAAAGTTCCAGAGTCATCACGGTGTCCCCTAGAACTTACCATTTTCAGAGATAGGTTATGGATCAGTGAAAATAATCGTTAATTTGTGAGAAGAGAGTTACTAACCTCAGTTTTCCTGTCTGAAGTTTTAATTCCTGTCTCAGTCCCTGGGATTCTTATAAAGTATTTACAATTATCTTTTCATTCTGAAATTGGTATTATTACAATTATCTTTTCATTCTGAAACTGCTGAGAGAAGACTTTTTCTTGTATGTTCAATAACAGACTTTTTTTCTTTCTTTTTTTTTTTGTGGAAATCCTTTAAGTCTTTACTCTCTATGGTCAGTACAAAAGACTGGGATATTGGAAATAATTTTACTTCAAGTTTCTTTATATTGCTATTAATGATACGGGTTTTGGGAGAAGACAGGGTCACTAGATCCTCTAGGGACAAGTGTGAGAAATTTCTAACTCATTCATTTAGCAACAAATACCAAGTAACTACCCGGTGCATGTAGGGTAAAAGGTAGAATGTCTGAAGAGCTAAACCCAACTGAATAGGAAATGACAATATTCAAGTAAGCCCATGGTAGGCCTCATACTCCTGTTCCTTGGAGTTACAAAGCAGGTTCTTTCAGGTTGTACTAAGAAATTGAAGCAATAAAACTCTCGATCATTGCTCCTGTATTAGCATAGTCTGTTCCTTACAAACAAGACTGATTTGACAGTAATCTAGCACATGGGATACTAGCTATTACCAGGCTGAATGCTTTCACAGAGAACTTAAATTTGAAAACTGGGCCTTCTGCAATGGATGAGGCATTCGTCAAAGGTTCATCCAGTGATGTACTCAGGTCCACTGCCAGCTCATGGCTATCCTGTGTTCATGATTGCAGAGTATGACAGTGAAGGGCAGTTACACGGCTCAGCATCCTCGGGGTTTTTTGGGTACATATTAATATAAACACAGCGAGGTCAGATTACCAAATCAGATCGACACCATGAAAAGATTGAATCAAAGTGTGAAGCTAAGAAAGTCAGGAGAAGGGAACTGAGCAGGGAGCGGTGGGAACAAGCAGCACACCACTGAGGCTGTGAGGCATACCCGGAGCCAGCCGGCTGCTCCTGCAGTGCTCTAGACCTGCCATGGCACAGCAGGCACCGTGTGGATAAGAGCGGCAGCCAGTAAACTAACACACTTCTGTGTCCCACAGCTACTTTCCACAGGAAGCCCACTCCAAAGGGAACCCTGGATATAGAAGAGAAATTGTACAATAAAATTTGCGGTTTACTAGTGAGTAACCCTCTTTTATACTAAAGTTTCAAATGGTGGAATCTGAAATCTCATTCTGTAATTAGTCTTCAGATGGAAAACAACTTGGGACATGTGATCATTCAAGTTGATTTGGGAGATTGAGTCAATATTCACCTGACATAGGAAGAATATAACATTATTATCTGCCATTCCCTAATAATAAACAAACACAAAACAAATTATTTTATATAATTATAAGTAATAAATCATAATAAATATAATAAGCATTAAGTAGCTAAAGCCATACTGAACCTTGGGGCTGAGGCTGGAGCCTTCAGGAGTGAGGATCTTCCTGAGCCAACTCGACATGAACAGGGTAGCCACAGGACTAACAGCTGGCTGTTCTGGAAAACAGGTATTGTCTTAGCCTTCTTTGTACATGCAGCTAGCAAGATGCCAGTCTGGAATTCAATCCTAGGACGACTGGCTCAAGGGTTCCTGCCCAAATTTGAAACTATATGCACCTTTATTCTTATTAGTTACCCCATCACATAGTAAATGTTACATTTTTGGAGTGAACAAATTCTACCTCCAGCTCTATGTACAATCTGCTGTGTCATTGAGTCCCAGGTTGATAATATCAATGTAATAGTTTTGAAGACAAATGTGATATTTAATTCAACTAAGCAAATGCTGATAGTGACTGAAAACTTACATAATTATATAATTAGAACTCTGAGCTAGACACTCTCCTAGGAAAACAGTGCCTAGGAAAATGCCCTAGTCCTGCCACCAACATATTTACAGCCTAGGGGATAGCAGACAAATGGACAAGTAATTAAAATATGAGCCTGAGTTTGATAAGAGGTGCAGGAAAGAAATAAACATTTCAGGAGGTTATGTGGAGGAATAAATGGATTTCAAATGGAAGCTTAGTGAAGAGCTATTTGAATTAGGCCCAATAAGATAGGAATTTCCATTAGTTTCTTTGCTTCCATGTCCTGTTGCCCACAATGTTTTCAGATGATCTCTCACACAAAGATCTTATTTCACTGTAGTCTTCAAAAACCTCTTTTGTTTATCTATTGAGTATTGCTTGAAGTACATATGATTAATTGGGCTTTCAAAGGCTTTCATCATTAAACTGGTGGATCTCAACCCAAGATGCTTACCAGATTCACTGGCCCCATCCCAGACAACTAAATCGGAAGGTTCCCACAGGTAACCAAAGTAACAAGCCCCAGATCCAGCCTCTGGGTGACTCTCTAGCCGAGCGATTTTCAGCTGCTGTGCTGCAAGAATTTTTAAAGCATGCAATACTTGACTAGTCAGGGGCACTGGCCTCTTTTCCCTTAGATTGTCAAATAAAAACAATGACAACAGCCAACACATCAGTAGCCCTCCAATGTGAGTGCCCTGTCTTGAGCCATAAATATTTAGGTCATATAATAGAGTTGCATTGTATTGGTCATGTCTCATAGTAAGGTTGCATCTGGCCCAGCCAGCATGGTGCAGAGGTTGAGCATCAGCCTATGATCCAGGAGCTCGAGGTTTGATTCCCAGTCAGGGCACATGCCCAGGTTGTGGGCTTGACCCTTGGTAGGGGGCGTGCAGGAGGCAGCCGATCAATGACTCTCAGCATTGATGTTTCCATCGCTCTCTCTCCCTCTCCCTTCTTCTCTCTGAAATCAATAAAGATATGTTTAAAAAATAATAAGATTGCATCTGATTGGTTAATTCTTGATACCAGAAATCTTCATATGCAAGTCTAGACGCCTGATTTTTTAAAATGTCACTTTGAAGCAAAAAGGGTAGGTAGTTACTACTATTATTATTATTATTAGGAAAGCAATCAAAACTATGCCAATTTTTTTGTCAGATTGGCAAAAAATATGTTTTTTATGTGCCACAGAATTTTAGTAATTAATGTGTGCCATGACATGAAAAAGGTTGAAAATCGCTGCTGTAGCCTCATGCACTCTCTTCC